CTAACCTAACCTACCCGACCCAGCCTAACTTACCCGACCCAGCCTAACTTACCCGACCCAGCCTAAGTTACCCGACCCAGCCTAACCTACCCGACCCAGGCTAACCTAACCTACCCGACCCAGGCTAACCTAACCTACCCGACCCAGCCTAACCTACCCATCACAGCCTAACCTAACAAAAGGCGGTTTTACGAAACCGAAAACAGAGCTTTGTCTAATGTACGATTTGACCACAAAGGTTGTCAGTCAACGGGTCCTCTTGTCTGTTGTAATACTGGAGCCACTTCGTACACCTGTATCATGCCCCTCGTACACCTGTATCATGCCCCTCGTACACCTGTATCATGTCCCTCGTACACCTGTATCATGCCCCCCGTACACCTGTATCATGCCCCTCGTACACCTGTATCATGCCCCTCGTACACCTGTATCATGCCCCTCGTACACCTGTATCATGCCCCTCGTACACCTGTATCATGCCCCTCGTACACCTGTATCATGCCCCTCGTACACCTGTATCATGCCCCTCGTACACCTGTATCATGCCCCTCGTACACCTGTATCATGTCCCTCGTACACCTGTATCATGCCCCCCGTACACCTGTATCATGCCCTTCGTACACCTGTATCATGCACCTCGTACACCTGTATCATGCACCTCGTACACCTGTATCATGCACCTCGTACACCTTTATCATGCCCCTGGTACACCTGTATCATGCACCTGGTACACGCTGGTGTCAGGTGTACTCGTCCCTCAAGCCTGCCTCACACCTACACCTGCCTCACACACCCAACACGCGCCTAAGATGATTCAATCCATTATGTTGATCAGAGTTCGTGTTGGACACCACCCTCAGTGACGAGCAGAGAGGGGGGGAGGGGGAGGCCAAGGGAAGGGGTAATCTTCTTGAGGTTATCTTGATATGATTTCGGGGCTTTTAGTGTCCCCGCGGCCCGGTCCTCGACCAGGCCTCCACCCCCAGGAAGCAGCCCGTGACAGCTGACTAACACCCAGGTACCTATTTTACTGCTAGGTAACAGGGGCATAGGGTGAAAGAAACTCTGCCCATTGTTTCTCGCCGTCGCCTGGGATCGAACCCAGGACCACAGGATCACAAGTCCAGTGTGCTGTTCGCTCGGCCGACCGGCTCCTTGGGAGGAGCGGGGTGGGAGGGTGATCTTCAAATATATACTTGTCTATTATAGACAAGTTATGATAAGTAGAATTATACTACAAATTTAACAGCTATCAGTGCCCAACGTTTTAATAAGAGTTTGTTTTAGTTTTCTTTAGGACATTTTCAAGGTGATGGTTGTGCGAGACTGGCGAGGAGGTTCACCAGGGTCCACACAGCAGCGTACTCCGTTGTACTCGCTTGATCAGTGCTGACCCAACCCTGGTCATGTTAGGCACATACTCAACAGCAATTCCTGTTAAAAATTGTGTTAAGTTAGCTCCAAGAGTCTGGCCTTTAACTTCGATTAGACATTCTAATTTATAGATATACAATATACACACCTTTCACCATTTGGCCAAAAGTGTACATGTTACATGATGCAAATGTCGAGATACACAGCCGCTTCCAAGAAATTTTCTTCTGATTATTTTTAGAATAAAGAGAAAACCCCCACCGTATAAAATATAATGATTTATGAAACTACCAATATAAGTCAAAATGATAATCAATTATATAGAGCAGGAAAAACCTGTAAGTTGTTCAAGACCCAAGTGTAAAGCGACACACTGACACCATCCGCGAGATAACTAAAAAGTTGCACAACATTGGCTAGAAACACACACACACACACACATTTAAAGGGTTGCCATTTCAGATGAGACAAGCAAGAACAGTCGTGGGTATGAGAGCCCTTTTGTGGGACGGTTGGTGGTGGTCCAGCCACGCTCTCCCACCACCACCCACCACCACCACACTAATGATGAACACAGCACCAGGTACCTATGGACGACCATCAGAGTGGTCGTCCATAGGTACCTTGCCTCTGCACGTGTGTCAGTGGGCTCAAGCTTCACATGCTGCACAAAGCAGCGCGGGAGATTATATATAAATATATATATATATATATATATATATATATATATATATATATATATATATATATATATATATATATATATATATGTCGTACCTAATAGCCAGAACGCACTTCTCAGCGGCCCGATTTGCCTAATAAGCCAAGTTTTCCTGAATTAATATATTTTTCTATTTTTTTCTTATGAAATGATATATGTATGAGGTCATATTAAAATAACGTAGATATATGATAACCAACCCTATAACCTATAACCTATCTCTATCGGTTATTAGGTTAGGTAGTATAATATAAACTATAGGCAAATATTGGCTGAGAAGTGCGTTCTGGCTATTAGGTACGACATATATATGTGTGTGTGTGTGTGTGTGTGTGTGTGTGTGTGTGTGTGTGTGTGTGTGTGTGTGTGTGTGCTAACAAAAATATTTGTTTGGCGTCTGTAGATGTTGAAATATGCCACAACGTCCTGAATAATGCGCCCTTCGTGTTTATTCATTACAGCAGGTAAACTAACTGGTCTTCTCTCCGACATTTCTGGGAAATAATTCAGCCCATTATAAGGCCAAATTGATTATACTAAGCGACTCTCCTTCCTTGTTCAACCACCTGGACAAAAAAAACTACATTTTTGTGAGGCTCTGAATGGTTATTAAGGTTTCAATAATATTCTACTGGTAAACTGACAAGTAAACCTTTGTCCTAAACGGAGACTATTCTGAAGTTATAGGGAGAAGGTACTAAACCACAGACCAGTAAAAGACAGGCAAAGGTAACTGGAAGAACATTTACATGAGTAAGAGAGTACCTAACAGACAGGAATCTGAGAGTGAAAGTGAGGGTCGAGAAGTAGGACTGGCGTAGAGTAACAAGCGGAGTACCTCAGGTATCGGTGCTGGTTATCTTACCTTGTCATGATTTCGTGGCTCAACGTCCCCGCTCTTCGTTGCTGGACTGGTCAACCCGGCTGTTCGACGCGGCTGCTCGCAGTCTGACGTAGGAGTCACCGCCTGGTTGATCAGGTATCCATTGGAGGTGTTTATCCAGTTCTCTCTTGAATACTGTGAGAGGTCGGCCAGTTATGCCCCTTATGTGTAGTGGAAGCGTGTTGAACAGTCTCGGGCCTCTGATGTTGATAGTTCTCTCTCAGAGTACCTGTTGCACCTCAGCTCTTCAACGGGGGTATTCTGCACATCCTGCCATGCCTTCTGGTCTCATGTGATGTTATGGCTGTGTGCAGATTTGGGACCAGCCCCTCGACTATTTTCCATGTGTAAATTATTATGTATCTCTCCCGCCTCCGCTCAAGGGAATACAGATTTAGACTCTTTAGTCGGTTCAAGTAGTTTAGATGTTTTACTGAGTGGATTCTAGCAGTAAAGGATCTCTGCACGCTCTCCAGGTCAGCAATTTCTCCAGCTTTGAAAGGGGCTGTCATTGTGCAGCAGTACTCCACTCTAGAGAGCACAAGCGTCTTGAAGAGTATCATCATCGGTATAGCATCTCTAGTGTGAAAAGTTCTTGTTATCCAACCTGTCATTTTTCTTGCAGTTGTGACGGCTACTTTATTGTGTTCTTTGAAGGTAAGGTCTTCCGACACGAGTACACCCAGATCCTTTACATTGCCTTTTTCGTTCTGTTATGATTTGACTGCGTTTGGTTTCCTACGTGGTTTCCGATTTTATATTCTAATTTTGTTTTCTCTGGGACCCAAGCTATTTTTCATTTATGTTCATGACCAATCACAGGAGTGGCATCTCTATGTCAATGTTTTCTGATGATGCAAAATTTATGACGAGTTGAGACATATAATGACAGTGATACTGCAAGATGTCTTAGACGAGCTGCAGAGTTGGTCCGAGCGATGGCTATTAAAATTTAACACAAGTAAGTGTAAGGTGATGGAAATTGGAACAGATGGCACTAAACAAGAAGCATGGAACACAATGAAGGGAAACTACCATACTGTAACGACTACACAAAAATACCTGGGAGTGGATATAACACCAAACCTAACTCCAGAAGGATCATATAAACAGGAAAACATTAGCTGCTTGCTCCACAGTGGTAAAGGTGAGACCATCATTCAGGAAACTAAATAAGGAAGCATTTAGATCACTGTACACCGCCTATGGTAGACTAGTGGCAGAGTTTGCTGCCCGTCATGGAGTCGTCTTTTTACAAAACATGCCAAGAAAACTAGCAAAGGTTCAGAGTTTTGTAAGGAGGGTCGTCCCCAGATTGTGAGGGATGGGGTATGGAGACACACTGAAAGATCTAGACGACGCTCCCAGGAGATGGGGAGGGGTGCAGAGAGAGAGAGAGAGAGAGAGAGAGAGAGAGAGAGAGAGAGAGAGAGAGAGAGAGAGAGAGAGAGAGAGAGAGAGAGAGAGAGAGAGAGAGAGAGAGGAGGAGGAGACAGAGAAAGATAAGATGAGAGAGAAAAGAGAAAGAGATAGAAATACTTAGTGGGATTGACAATGTGGAAAAAGAGGAAATGCTGAATCAAGTGGAATAGAGGGAGATGGCATGGATGGAAGGTTGAGAGTGGCATGTGTCAGCTGTTAGAAAGTTGTCAGCGTAATAGTGGGCACACGGAATGAACTAAAGGAGTATAGGTTATAGAGACAAACTACATTCATAATTTCCAACGAAGATGTGAGAGAGGAATACGGCAGTAGTCACTGTTTCAGACAACCAGCGGCTAGAAAGACGGGGGTCCAAGAGCTAAAGCTCGCTCCAGCAAGCACAAATAGGTAATTATACGTACAATATATTCATATACTGCCCGCGGGTACTTAGAAGAACTGATGCCACAAGAGGCTACAAGCAGAGTGCCACACGCGGGGCTCTCCGCCTACAAGTGACCTTGTATTACAGAGGTCAACACGGCATATCGTCATTTGAGGCATGAATGTTGTAGCCGTAGCCGAGGATTACAGTCTTACCAGTACAAGGGATGGGCTTCGGCTTCGGCTTCTTCGAACACGTCCGTCTGGAACTGGACAAAACAGGGAATTAGATTTTGGTATAATTTATCACAAACATGAACGTTTGTGCTTCTCACACACAACCAATATGTACACATGTGACCGCACACATTATGGGATGTGAGGAACCAACAGGTGTGAGGAACCAACAGGTGGGAGGAACCAACAGGTGGGAGAAACCAACAGGGGGAGGAACCAACAGGTGGGAGGAACCAACAGGTGGGAGGAACCAACAGGTGGAAGGAACCAACAGGTGGGAGGAACCAACAGGTGGGAGGAACCAACAGGTGGAAAACCAACAGGTGTGAGGAACCAACAGGTGTGAGGAACCAACAGGTGTGAGGAACCAACAGGTGTGAGGAACCAACAGGTGGGAGGAACCAACAGGTGGGAGGAACCAACAGGTGGGAGGAACCAACAGGTGGGAGGAACCAAAAGGTGGAAGGAACCAACAGGTAGGAGGAACCAACGGGTGTGAGGAACCAACAGGTGTGAGGAACCAACAGGTGTGAGGAACCAACAGGAGTGAGGAACCAACAGGTGTGAGGAACCAACAGGTGGGAGGAACCAACAGGTGGAAGGAACAAACAGGTGGGAGGAACCAACGGGTGTGAGGAACCAACGGGTGGGAGGAACCAACGGGTGGGAGGAACCAACGGGTGTGAGGAACAAACAGGTGGGAGGAACCAACAGGTGGAAGGAACAAACAGGTGGGAGGAACCAACGGGTGGGAGGAACCAACGGGTGGGAGGAACCAACGGGTGTGAGGAACCAACGGGTGTGAGGAACCAACGGGTGGGAGGAACCAACGGGTGGGAGGAACCAACAGGTGGGAGGAACCAACAGGTGTGAGGAACCAACGGGTGGGAGGAACCAACAGGTGGGAGGAACCGACAGGTGTGAGGAACCAACGGGTGGGAGGAACCAACGGGTGGGAGGAACCAACAGGTGGGAGGAACCAACAGGTGTGAGGAACCAACGGGTGGGAGGAACCAACAGGTGGAAGGAACAAACAGGTGGGAGGAACCAACGGGTGGGAGGAACCAACGGGTGGGAGGAACAAACAGGTGGGAGGAACCAACGGGTGGGAGGAACCAACGGGTGGGAGGAACCAACGGGTGGGAGGAACCAACGGGTGTGAGGAACAAACAGGTGGGAGGAACCAACAGGTGGGAGGAACAAACAGGTGTGAGGAACCAACGGGTGGGAGGAACCAACGGGTGGGAGGAACAAACAGGTGGGAGGAACCAACAGGTGTGAGGAACCAACAGGTGTGAGGAACCAACAGGTGGGAGGAACCAACGGGTGGGAGGAACCAACGGGTGTGAGGAACAAACAGGTGGGAGGAACCAACGGGTGGGAGGAACCAACGGGTGGGAGGAACCAACGGGTGGGAGGAACCAACAGGTGTGAGGAACCAACGGGTGGGAGGAACCAACAGGTGGGAGGAACCAACAGGTGGGAGGAACCAACAGGTGGGAGGAACCAACGGGTGGGAGGAACCAACAGGTGGGAGGAACCAACAACTTAAAGAGGCTGCCTTTGTCTACCTTGCCTATTCTCCTCAGTATCTTATATGTTTTGATCATGTCTTCTCTTACTTTTGTCCTGAAAAGTTGTGAGGAGGGGAACTGGAGGTCCATCAGCCTATCCTCACAGGAACCAACTCTCTTAGCTGTGGCTCTAATCTACCTGAAAATCTCTGTACTTTTTGAATTTTAGCTGAAAAGGTGGTGGTGATGGTGGTAGTGATGGAGGAGATGGTGGTGGTGGTGGAGATGGTAGTGGTGGTGATGGTAGTGGTGGTGATGGTAGTGGTGGTGGTGGTGGTGGTGGTGGTAGTGGTGGAGGTGACGATGGTGGTGGTGATGTTGGTGGTGGTGGTGGTAGAGGTGATGGTAGTGGTGGTGGTGATGGTAGTGATGGTGGTGGTGATGGTAGTGATGGTGGTGGTGATGGTAGTGATGGTGGTGGTGATGGTGGTGGTAGTGGTGGAGGTGACGATGGTGGTGGTGATGTTGGTGGTGGTGGTGGTAGAGGTGATGGTAGTGGTGGTGGTGATGGTAGTGGTGGTGGTGATGGTAGTGGTAATGATGATGGTCGTGGTGGTGGTGGTAGTGGTGGTGATGGTGGTAGTGGTGGTGGGTGGTGATGATGATCGTGGTGGTGGTGGTGGTGGTGGTGGTGATAGTGGTGGTGGTGGTAGTGGTGGTGATGGTGGTATTGGTGGTGATGGTGGTAGTGGTAGTGGTGGTGATAGTGGTATTGGTGGTGATGGTTTTAGTGGTGATGGTGGTAGTGGTGGTAGTGGTGGTGATGGTGGTAGTGGTGGTGATGGTGGTAGTGGTGGTGATGGTAGTGGTGGTGATAGTGGTGGTGGTAGTGGTGGTGATAGTGGTGGTGGTGGTGGTAGTGGTGGTGGTGGTGGTAGTGGTGGTGATGGTGGTAGTGGTGGTGATGGTGGTGGTAGTGGTGATGGTGGTGGTGGTAGAGGTGGTGGTGGTGGTGGTAGAGGTGGTGGTGGTAGAGGTGGTGGTGGTAGTGGTAGTGGGTGGTCAGCACTGAGGGTCAAGAGGGGTCACCAGCAAGAGGCCTCAGCAAGAGGCCAGCGAGGTGCAGCAGGAGCGGCGGGCACACCACGCAGCAGGAGCGGTGGGCACACCACGCAGCAGGAGCGGCAGGCACACCACGCAGCAGGAGCGGCGGGCACACCACGCAGCAGGAGCGGCGGGCACACCACGCAGCAGGAGCGGCGGGCACACCACGCAGCAGGAGCGGCGGGCACACCACGCAGCAGGAGCGGCGGGCACACCACGCAGCAGGAGCGGTGGGCACACCACGCAGCAGGAGCGGCGGGCACACCACGCAGCAGGAGCGGCGGGCACACCACGCAGCAGGAGCGGCGGGCACACCACGCAGCAGGAGCGGCGGGTACACCACGCAGCAGGAGCGGCGGGCACATCACGCAGCATGAGCGTTGGGCACACCACGCAGCAGGAGCGGTGGGCACACCACGCAGCAGGAGCGGCGGGCACACCACGCAGCAGGAGCGGCGGGCACACCACGCAGCAGGAGCGGTGGGCACACCACGCAGCAGGAGCGGCGGGCACACCACGCAGCAGGAGCGGCGGGCACACCACGCAGCAGGAGCGGCGGGTACACCACGCAGCAGGAGCGGCGGGTACACCACGCAGCAGGAGCGGCGGGCACACCACGCAGCATGAGCGGTGGGCACACCACGCAGCAGGAGCGGTGGGCACACCACGCAGCAGGAGCGGCGGGCACACCACGCATCAGGAGCGGTGGGCACACCACGCAGCAGGAGCGGCGGGCACACCACGCAGCATGAGCGGTGGGCACACCACGCAGCAGGAGCGGTGGGCACACCACGCAGCAGGAGCGGCGGGCACACCACGCAGCAGGAGCGGTGGGCACACCACGCAGCAGGAGCGGTGGGCACACCACGCAGCAGGAGCGGCGGGCACACCACGCAGCAGGAGCGGTGGGCACACCACGCAGCAGGAGCGGCGGGCACACCACGCAGCAGGAGCGGTGGGCACACCACGCAGCAGGAGCGGCGGGTACACCACGCAGCAGGAGCGGTGGGCACACCACGCAGCAGGTGCGGTGGGCACACCACGCAGCAGGAGCGGCGGGCACACCACGCAGCAGGAGCGGTGGGCACACCACGCAGCAGGAGCGGCGGGTACACCACGCAGCAGGAGCGGCGGGCACACCACGCAGCAGGAGCGGTGGGCACACCACGCAGCAGGAGCGGCGGGTACACCACGCAGCAGGAGCGGCGGGCACACCACGCAGCAGGAGCGGTGGGCACACCACGCAGCAGGAGCGGCGGGTACACCACGCAGCAGGACCGGCGGGCACACCACGCAGCAGGAGCGGTGGGCACACCACGCAGCAGGAGCGGCGGGTACACCACGCAGCAGGAGCGGCGGGCACACCACGCAGCAGGAGCGGTGGGCACACCACGCAGCAGGAGCGGCGGGTACACCACGCAGCAGGAGCGGCGGGCACACCACGCAGCAGGAGCGGTGGGCACACCACGCAGCATGAGGCACGAGACACACACACACACGAGGCGTGTGCGAGCCTGCAGGCGTCCCGAGAGAGAGGAGAGGCAATAAGAGAGCAAGCCGGGTATCGATCGCGGGCGGCTGGGCGATACCTGACAACCGGAACTGGCCCAGCGTGCCGAGCCGCTCCACATGTTGGGTTACCAGGTAGCATGTCCGGGCTGGGTAGGGGGAAGGGGTCTCCTACTTCCGCCTCACACACCCCCTAACCTCACACCCCCTCCTACCTCACACCTCTCCCCCCCCCCGGCCTGAGCCCCCCCCCACCATACGCACCCAGCGTGTGTGGGGCGTACGGCCGCTCCTCCTACTACGCCTCGCAAGCAACCGTTATATATAATATTAAATAGTGCACTCAACGCCCTCATTTCTACGAGTTACCAGCGTGTGGGGAGACGTGGGGTGTGGGAAGACGTGGGGGTGTGGGAAGACGTGGGGTGTGGGGGAGACGTGGGGGTGTGGGGGAGACGTGGGGGAGTGGGGAGACGTGGGGGTGTGGGGAAGACGTGGGGTGTGGGGGACGTGGGGTGTGGGGGAGACGTGGAGGGTGTGGGGGAGACGTGGGGGAGTGAGGAGACGTGGGGGTGTGGGGAAGACGTGGGGTGTGGGGGAGACGTGGGGGTGTGGGGGAGACGTGGGGTGTGGGGGAGACGTGGGGGGTGTGGGGGAGACGTGGGGGGTGTGGGGGAGACGTGGGGGTGTGGGGAGACGTGGGGGTGTGGGGAGACGTGGGGGTGTGGGGGAGACGTGGGGGTGTGGGGAGACGTGGGGGTGTGGGGAGACGTGGGGGTGTGGGGAGACGTGGGGGTGTGGGGAGACGTGGGGGGTGTGGGGGAGACGTGGGGGTGTAGGGAGACGTGGGGTGTGGGGAGACGTGGGGGTGTGGGGAGACGTGGGGGTGTGGGGAGACGTGGGGG